TACCTGAGTATTTGGTTGAGGGTATTGGGGTTAGGGTTAGGATCAGTGCTATGGTTAGTTGTAGGGACAATGTTAGATGCAAGTAGTCAATTGTTAGGCAAGCTTAGAGTTAAAATTAATGTTTGTGTTTGGTTATGGATGGTGTTGTGCTGCAAACACATGAATTTGTCTGTTATGACATAAACTTATCTATAACTTGGGTACTTCTGCCCAATACTATCCTTACACCAATCAATAACCCTAATGCTTGCATATACACATCCTTCCTACCACTGCTCTGGTAGCTTATCAAGAGCAGCAGAAGTTACCTGAATCCTTGAAAGATCCCAAATCTCACAGATGTGTTTGCTAATTTGAAAGTAAAATCATTAGCTCTTACCTATAAGGTATAGCCTAAAAGAGACTGTGGGAAGACCATGAAGAATATTGTTTCCCTGACATCTAGGGAAGCCCTTGCAGGGCTTCATTCTCATGGGATTAAGGAAGTCCTTTAGGCTGCACTCTTCTCCCAATGGAGTTGGTGGACCAAGTTGAGTCTTAAGGTTGTGACTCATCATGGAAGATACCAGTACCAATCACCAGGTCTTTGAGCAGAGACATGTTCTTATCAAGCGCTTTGAGTATTTCAAGGGGTGTTTTGTATACCCAGTAGGTCTACTCCTTCCACAGTGGATGTTCTTTGAAGTACCTCAGACCTAGTTTTCTCTCCATAAATCTCAAAGCACGTCGTGAGAACTATCCTAACAAGCACTCTGCAGATCCAAGTGATCTCACCATTAGGAAACACTAGAAAAACTGACCCACTCACTCTGAAGTAGGGACAACTCATTCACTATTGCAATGGGATCTGGGTCCAGTGCCAACTAGGAGATGGTGAAAGATGGGTACAAAATAGCAGTTTAGATTATGATACCATTTTATAATTAGATTGCCTTTGTAAAATGTATGGCTAATACAGTCCTTTATGTTTATTTTTAGAAAAGTCTAAAAAATAAGTTATTTAGAATGACGTCCAAGTAAAAAATAACATCATTAATGATCCTGTACACAGATCCCCACTTGTCACTCAGGGGGAGCTTTCTAACTCAATTCCTTTGAGTAATCTATCTTCTTAGGTTGTCATTAATTGTAATAATAATAATAACAACAACAATAAAAACACTTACAAGAGAGGCAGCTCTGCAGCCTCTTAAGATCCTAGTTTATTCCCAGTTCCTAAAGAACTATCCTGGTCCATCCTCAAGGAACACAGTGACAATTTCTAAAAATCCTGCTTGGGAAAATGATCATTCAAATTTTTCACAAGACTAAGGCTCTATTTCTGTGAACCTTTGGAAGATCTGGGGCTCTTCTTCAATGAACAAGATCCTGGTTCAGCTTTGAATACAGATAAGTAGAATTACCATAAATTATGCATTACTTGGACAGCCCATCTAAAGTCCATCTTTGCCTCCACAGGCTCCTAACCAACCAATTTACCAAGCTCTTTTGTCTTACCATAGACAAACTCTTTAACTAATTTTCATTGCCTTCTGACAAGTTTCCCTCATTCCAGCCAGTGAACATGTCATCCTAAGGTATCTAGAGAGTACACAATCACCAACAGGACCTGGACCTCTACTCCCTCAACAACCTATAAAGAATTACGAGTATTTATGTCTTTCAGGGAGAAATTAAGGTCATGGCAGACTGGCTGAAAAATGGGACGTGACCTGTTAAATATGGAGATACACACCAGAGGCTGGAAACAGGAAATACCTATGTAATTAGATGCAAAAAGGATGTAGCCTATCAATTTCAGCTAGGACGCATAAATAGAGCAGCTTGGAAGTGACTGAATCTAGAAGGACACAGAAGACAGCAGTCTTGACTTCACTGCCACTGCAGTCTTGTTCTGCTGTGCTCTTGTTTCTGCAGTGGTCTGTCCTGCTTGTCTCTTGTGCTTCATTCTTCCTTTATTCCTTTCTTCCTTTCTTCTCCTTTGGCCACTTCTTTTCTTTTTTTCACATTGAATACAATCTGTGTTTAATATTTCCTTGATATTCCTGCCCAATTCCTTGGGTGGGACAAGCCTGGAATCTTTAGATGCTGTCTCATATGGAAACAATGGGACATGCCCAAAGCTGAGGAATAGCCCTAATTTACAGGACCAAGTCTGAGGTGGAAGAGAAGGTGGAAACCAGATCAGGGGCCTAAGCCCCCAGTGGATGAGCCAGAACTCTTGAGGCCCTGAAGCCTGAGTTCCTGAAAACTGAGGCTACTGATTAAGAAGGGAAGACCTGTGGTCAATGATAGCAGAGCAACAGCAATGTGTCCCTAAGTGAGTGGCCATGTTGGTTCCCTGGAGATGGTAAAAACTTCTAGTGTGTGAGGAAGTGCTTCAAAAAATGCAGACGGAGCTGATGGGTGTTACCTGGAAGCCATAGGAACTTAATATGATAAACTACACTATCAAGAGCTGTAATACCAAAACTAAAAGCCTTTGGTGCTCAGGTTACAAACTGTGGCACTAAAGACTGAGCTATTGACCCTCAACCCCTGGTGCCACTAACCTAAAGCGAGCAGTACTTCACCGATTGAAGACTTATGTCCATATTAGACAAATAACCTTAACAGGCTGGTAACACCTTACCGTGCTGGAAGGACCTATTACTCTAGGGTGGTGTTAAAATAAAAATTTGAGATGGAGTGAGTAATCCTTGAAATAGAAGGATTTATTAAGCCCTTAGATATGTTGGCTATAAAAATACCAGATCTAAGGATGAGCTCCCAAAGATTTACCAGAAGCAGGGCTAAATACCAGGTGAAACAAATTCCCACTGGACCTAGAGCTAAGTGTTTTACAACAAAAAATTGATGAAAGAAATTTTGAGCTGCTTACATTGCAGATACATTAATTATAACCAAGGCAGGTAGGATGACTTGGAGTGGAGAAAGTTTGGGGGTAGGAGAACAGTTCATAAGAAGTAATGATTGTTTCTGAATTGGTTATGGATGTAAGCAGGCTATAATGATGCCTGGTAATTCATAGTTTAGGATTCAAGTCAAGGGTTTAACACTCATTCAGGAAGGTGAAATACTTCTTCTGAAAAAGACGAGTCAGGACTCAGCTCAATGAGAGGAAAGGATGGCTCACTGATTTGTTTTATATTGTGTAGTTTTTGGTCTGTATTACTGTATTGTCTTATGCTGAGCAGGATGGCTGCAACAGAGGAGTATTTTTGCTAAAAGTCTTAACATTTTACTTAATAACTGCTAATCACCACCATATTTATAGTTAAATTTAGGATTTCATAGTCTTTTTATTTCCTGTATATTCACTCACTGCTTTGAGAAGTTTTGTGAGTAACACTTTCATGCTTACAAATTACAAAGGGCAAGGGAACTTCATTTATACACAGGATGACAGAGATTCTACAAAATCCATCATGTCGCTAGCCTCTTATTCTCATCCAGCAAAAATAATTGCTTTTCTAACTTGTTTTCATAACCACATGCTAGCCCAGTCTCTCCTTTAAAGAAGACAACCTGGACAACACAGGCAAGGGAGGGAAAAATCAGTAATTTAAAAGCAAACACTGCTTGAGTCCTTTATGGTCCTACTCGGATCCTTCAGCACCGTTTTCTGTCTCTCCAAGGTGATAATTAGGCATTAGAAGCTGGTTGTGTGAGCTCAGCCAGCACTTTTAAAGGCTGCCTGGATTTAAAGAAAGGCCCTGTGTGGGGCTTTTGACAAAGAACCTCGTCTGTCCCAGGTAGTATCTCGTCATCTCCTGCAGCTGAGTTCTATGCCTTAAAATGAACAAGTGGCCAACTGCATACCTATGGATACATTATTTGAGCATGCCTTCTGAATGGGTACCATAAAATGGTTTTGATTTCTTAATAGAGCTATTATTTATTTGGAGAGAAGCTATTCACAACATACTGAGAACTATTTGAATTGGAATACAAGTCTAACAATTAAACCTCTACTTTTACCTGCCAGAAAGGACCACAGTGGTCAAGAGAAATGAGGAATATTTGGTTTCAACCCTAATCATTCAGTGATACCCAGGTTTCCTCTGCTTTGGCTGGTTTTACCTGTGACCATGCTGAGCATGGTGTTGAGGCTGCACTGTTGTGGCTCTGCCACAAAGTCGTCTTCCTAGGAAGAGAGGGCTGGTGTTTCAGGAGGGTGGTATAAGTGATCAGATCTCCTCCTTCCAATCCTTTTTTAGATGCTGCAAGTTGGTTCCATGTAGTTGCTACTGACTCAACACCTAGGCACTGGGGATTTCGCTATAGACAAAGCACAGGTTCACATTCTGGTGTGGTTTTCAAATTGCCCTAAATTATAGTTGGATAGGACATTTTAGCTTACTAAGCCCTTTGTCACACATTGTCTTTCACTTAATTGGCAAACTATGAAGATGGCAAAGTAAAGATTATTATCTCTATTTTCCAGATAGAGGCAGATTCAGGGTTCCAGGAACCATGGAACAGTCTAGAAGCCAAGGCTTAGCCTCTTCCCCAGGCTGTGATTGAGGCTAATGAAATGAGAATTGAGCACTGAAATTAAAGAGGAGGAGACCACTAGGAATAGGATGTGAATTTTCATGCTAGGGGCTCTAAATTCAAATTCAAGGGTTGGAGGCAAAGCAGTATGTAAGTGCTCTGAATGGGGCCCATGGAAAACTGGAGAATGGGTGCACCTTTTGAAATGGCATCTCATTCTTGGCACCAGCTATGTGCCGTCATGTTTCGAAACAGACCCAAAGTTGCCTACTCAGGGTATTTTTCCAAGAGAATCTGGAAATCTAGAATTACATGTGAATTGCCCTACTTGAAGGTTAAATAGTAACAGCTAACCAAAACATTTTAAACCTCTGTAATCAGAAGAAAGAGAACACCAAAAAGCAAACTAGAGCCAAACCTTCTGAGTCTCATTTGCAACCTCTGTTCTTTGTAATGGTAACTAAATAGGGTATTTTTAGGAGAAATGCACCAAGGCACAGAGGATGACTGAAGTACTTTTATTTCCAGCAGGTTCTTTCATTTTTTCCACATTTGTGATGGACAGAAAGAGGCAAAGGGATTGATAAATGACTGGAGCCAGAGTATATAGCGATAAATTGCATATTATCACTCTTCAGCATGATGATTTGAACATCTACTTTTTTTCCTTTTAAGAATAGTTCTCATCTTTTTTTCCTACCTGCTGCCTGATGGATGAGGTCTATGTACAAACCTCTGTCCCCACTCCAGGTTTCCAAAGATTGCAGGCTTGGACAGAAACTAAATACAGATTCAGATGCCCTGCTAATGAGGTTCCATTTCACTTTCCCCTCTTTTCTAAGAAAGATTATTGTAGTCTGAATAAGACAGATGCCAAAAGTATCAGAATGACTTTCTGTTGGCCTTATTTTTTTTATAAAAGTTAACTAATCACAAACATTGGCATTTTACCTGTCATTAGTAATGACTAACTTGTGATACAATTCATAAACGTCAGGGCAACATGATTAAGAACTGTTTTAAAAAATAAATATGAAGAGGTATTGCAAACCTCCTGTGAACCAGCGTTGTCTTCTGGTATTTTCAGTCATGAAATGGTAGACTGGGTTGCCTACCTCAGCTTATAAATTCGACTTTCTAGTATCAACCACAAAGATTTTAGGAATATCACCAGAATGAACTCTTAAAATAAGACAGGAGAAAAAAGAGCATATTCTCCAAAACAGTCAGTGAGTCAGAGGACAAATGACCTCGCTTCTTTAACTGAGAAGAGGGAGCCCCAACTTGGACTGGTGTTTGAATGATGTTAAGCTAAATTCTGTCCAGCAGACAAAGCACGAGTAAAGGTTTCCCATATTTTCCATGGTTTTGCTCCATGAATTGATCCAAAAGAAGCAGAAAATGAATAGTGAACACCAGAGCTTTCCTATTATCTCCTAGTTTGGAATGATCTATTTCCTTTCTGTTGCACTGAAGAATTCAGAAAGTGGGACTAGGAATCAAACTCGAGGGAAAAAAGACAAAGAGGTGACTGGCAATCTGATATAGCATGTCTCCTGAGGAAGAGGTGTCTAGGTCTGAGTCAGCCTAGGATGAAACCAGAGCAGAAATAAGTCTATTTTTTTCTCTAGGTCACCATAGGGAACCAATCTAACCTATTTACAAGTGATCTCAGGGGGAGATGTCTTTAAATAGTTATCTTGTCACCATCCTTTTCATCATCTTCCATGATCACCTTGGGTTTCTCATCCCTGAGAAGTGTTACACCTGCAAAACAAAACACAGACCTGCATTTAAGTGCGTCTAATTAAAATAGTAGCATTGACAGAGTGCACAGGAGTGTGGCCACCCCAGAAAAGCTTTTGCATCTGTGCAGAGAGAGGGTGCTGGGTGGCCTGATTTGGCCTTCCCAGAGGGGTTCAATGAGGACATCTCTCTGGGCATGAGAGGATGCAGAGGCAGGGGCTCACAGGCAACCTTCACCTTCACTTCCTGAGCTCTGCTCCTACTCTTGCAGTACTGTAGGAGGGAAAATATGTGGATTTTGGAATCTAGTGTCTTGGGCTCCTAGTTGCATCACTCTCTTAATTTGTATGAAGCCAGTTAACACTTTCCTATCTAAATGTTCTCATAGATAAATTGAGGACATTGATATTTATTTTAAAGAGTTACTGTATCAATTAAAAAAGGTGACCGCTGTGAACAACTAAATGTTAGTTTTTTCACTTTTCCCACCATTTGCTAGTTTATTTCTCTTTTGAAGGAAATTGGTAAACCTCGTGAAATCAAACTTAAAATGGTTTTACCAACACGTAGGGAAAACACTGATCTGAGGCTCTGGATATGCTGTTTCTAAATGTCAATTGTAACAGGTGATCACGTCCACAAGATTCAGAGCAAAATGAGAAGATACGTTTTTCATGCAATTTAAAATGATTCTTTGTTCTGAGATAATAAGTTTCTTGCTTTTGGATATTAAAATATATTTCCTTTTATATAATTGTAAATATATGACCTGGTTGTTCTTGCATATCTTCATAGGTAAAATCAAAGGTTAATATTCCTATGTTGGGTGCCATAATATTTTATTTTAAAAAGTGTACTGGCTTAGGAAACAGATATCTTAATTTCTTTTTAAAGTATGATTTTCTGCACGAATTAATTCACTAAAGGCCAGTCAAGGAGGTCTGAGTGGTTTTGCTCATCCTGTGAAGTTTAAAGGGGGAAGCATTTTAATTGAAGGGCAAAAGAAGCTGTCCTCCAGGTTCCAGACCAGTCCTTCAGGACTCCTATCCTCTCATTCCAGCCCCCAGTTTTGTTTCCTACCACTGCCTTGTACTGCATCCTCCCCTCTCCTCCTAATTAGGTACCTTCAGTCTCTGAGGCAGCTCATAAACTGGAGAGTAGAAGCTGCACAGCACAAGAGGCCTTTCTGCAGAATGGACTCCATTCGGTGCTAGAATATTAATGGAAACTACGTCTTGCTTTTTGACTGTTCATTGAATTGGTTCCTAGTTTGTTTATATGGTTCTTTGTCAAGTTGCTAATATTATCAAAGGTGAAAAACAATTTCAAGAGTCTGGCTGAAACTAAGGTTTTTAGATAAATCACTTACGAAACACAGCAAGAAATATTTTGCCTTATACTGTATTAGCTTCGGGGAAAATTGGACTCTTACTTAGAGTTAAAGCTAACATGGTCTGAGAACTTTGAGGAAGCTATATTGAGTAGCTCAACTCTTCCACCTTTTCTGGATGTGTCTATGTCAAACCAAACTCATGTTGACTAAAAATAGTTTGTTTTGGTCACATGCCATGATGCTCCAAGGTAGAACTGGCTCCCATTCTGTCATGCTCCAGTAATACATCACGTGAACCCTTGCTGAAGCACTTTTCATACTGTAGGAATCATGAAGCACTATATCTGCATTCTCCTGTGGTTCTCAAAGGACAGTCTACCATCTGGCTCAAAACCTGGATTATAGTAGGGCTTTAGCAACTGTCAGTGCCTTCCTCTTTCTACACAGGTGAGTCTAGGGAACTTCGCTGCTTGTAAGACATTAGCATGTTTTAAGGCCAAAGATGCTTATTTGGGGTCTCTGAGGGACAGTCAGCCTTGAAGTAAGCTGTTTTTCAGCAGAATACCATCTGGGGTACCATTTAAAAGTGGTCATCCACATTACAGCTATGAGCCTCTGAGCTGGGGGTATCAATACAAAGACACTACTTGTCCTAATAAACCACACCAGAGAGAATGCTATATTCCAGCAGGACAGGAGAGGTGTCACTGCCAAAAGACATACTAGCCCTTTTCCTTTGTACACGTGCAGTAGCTGATTTTCATTCTCTGGACTGTCTGAATGTGTGGTTTTCCAGCCAGATCCTCTTTAATGCCTTCAGCTGCATTGTTCTTTGCTTGGCTTGGCTCCCTTTGCCACAGACCTCGAGTTAAATACCTCTTTCTCTCTTAAGTAGGCCTGGGTTCCTTAGAATGACCAATCACAAACAATACTCCCTGTCATGAAATCACTAGGATGGGGGTCCTGGCAATCATGGACTAAGTTGGGAGCAAGCCTGGGGCTGGCAAGGAAGCCTGACATGACTCCCCATGGAGGGGCTACTCTGGCAGTTGGAACTTGTCAAATTAGCTCATTAACTTGGGGGAATGAAGGTGGTTAGCAGGAGATTTAGAGAAGAGTGTGAATCTTTGTCCAGTTCTCACTTGCCAAGGGCTAATGAGAGGAGATGTCTCCAGGGTGCATTTGTCTGTGAGTTTCTCTCAGCACCCTTATTAAACCAATATGAGTTTATCTGAACATCTGCCGAAGGCTCTATCCTTATCAGCTTAACTAGCATTTCGATTACTGCCAAAATCTTTAGATACTAAAAGGCTCTTCAAAAGTAAAGTGCTTTAGCTAATATGCTAATAAAAGCTAGAATCATACAACAATATCTTTAATTGTACACATTATATGGAGATTTGCTGACTCAAGGAATTCCATAATGCCTATGTATATACAGAACCCCTGCAACTCTTGTAAACTGTAGTATTTGACAAATGTTTTGATTCAAGAAGGAAGCTACTCTTTTTGAAGTAGCTCATGGGAAATATGTAGCATTCATTGCCAAGTGATCAGAGTTCAATTCTTCAGAAAGCATTGGATCAGCAGATTATATGACAAGGTAAAATGCTTTGGCTGGAAGAATTCTTACCTTCAAAAATTATTTGACCTAAGGAATATAAGATTGAACAGATAATGGAAGGGAACTAACATCTACTGAGGACTTTCAATATGACAAAACCTTTGTGAAGTGCTAAATATTAACAACTATTTGAGACAGCTTTTGTGGTCCTCTTTCTGGAATAGATGTGATAAAGGAAGCTCTTATTGTTTACCTTAAAGTTTGAGAACCACAAAGATTGTAGGAAGCAGAACCAAAAATGAAACCATTCTGGTTCCAAACTCATGTACAATTTTCTGTACTAGGACAAATCTCTGCCTGTAAATATTTTTGTGTCTCTACAAAATAAGTACAAGAATGGATACAAGAATAATCAAGTACTGTAGAATTGTGACTATCAAACAGGAAAATGTCAACAGATACTTATTAAGAACTACTAGTAGAAAGGATTGGGTTAGGTATTAAGGTTCCTATTAGAAGCATATGGCCATTACAGTCCAGAATATTCAAGCAAGTTGCTAATATGTCAATTTAAATAATAGCTGTAACAAGAGCAATGAGAACAGTAACAATTATATTAAATGCAGTCTTGGTCATTTGCATGCCCAGGACTAACACAGAGTCAGTCCAGAGTAGAAAACGTCATTCCTGAAGAGATCAGTTATCAGAGGCTTCGAGCAGGTTTAAGTGAGTGGGCGCTGAACAGAGGTAGAGCTTTGGGCAAGCATGTGATCAACTGGAGTATCTGTGTATGTAGCAATTCTGGTAACCTGTGAAAAGTGTGGTCCATTGCTTTTGAGAATTGTCTCTTCATGCACCCTGCCGCTTTGTCTGGCTCTGCTCCTTATTTGAAAGTCTGAATCTGCATGGCACAATATATAGTCTATTTTCTTTTCATTTGATCTGGGGACAGAATATCTGACAGAGGCAAAAAAGAAAGAATGGAAATTTTAAAGTACGGGTATGTGCAACTGTAGGGAAAAATTTCACATGCTGTGGCATAGCCTTTGAACAAACAGACTTTGATGGACAGAAAAAAGTTCTAAATCAGGGTTTGCTAATTTGGATCCTATAAACTTGAAGTGATTCTTTTACTGTAAATTTGTTGGAGATTTTATTTATTTCTCTACCATGTGATAATTCTTTCTTCTTTTGTGGAATAGTTGAAATTAATATATTGTGACTGTTCGCTATTAATCTTCAGTCACTTATACAAAGATCTTTGAACTCCTTTCCCAGTGGTAAAACTACTCTAAAACTACTTTTGAAAGAAGAAAGGGTACTGTCAAAAAGCCTGTGTGGGTGGCTTCTTCAGAGCCACCTTTGCCCTTCAAGTCCTACATGGAAAAGAGAGCAGTCATTGGTCATCGTCCATGTTAATGGACAGACAAGACCAATTCAGGATGCCAACAGAGTCCACTCAGAGAAAAAATAAGAGGAGTCCTTGGAGCCTTTTCCCTCTGAATGAGCTCAGCTGGAGTGTAAAGTTAAGGAAGACAAAGACTTTTTGTGTTAGTTTAGTTTCCTTGTGTATGCCTGGCATTTGAACATCATAGATGCTTAGTATTAATGTTGATAAGGTAAAGGATAGAGATGTTTTCACTTGGCCTTGTTCCTTAGGCTCGAATCCTCTTTGCTCAGTTATCCTCATGCTTCCCACCCCACACTTCCTTTAGATACTTAAATGCTCCTTCCTCAAAGTTCTCCTTGCCCTCCCGTGAGAAAGAATCAATCTCCAACTCCCTTTCTTTACCTAATTTTATTTTTCTTCATAGAATTTACTCTGAGCCAATTAATTCTATTATCTGCTTTCTGAGTTACCATTAACTTTACTCCAAAACAGTGACTTAGAATATAACATGTGCTCAATAAATATTTGTTTAAAAATGAAGGTACTTTGAAGACTAGATGCCTACATTGCCTAAATTTCTTGTATTACTCACACATTCATATTGATCAGAAGGCTGCATGTATTCAGAGTGCAGAAAGGTTGGTCTCTAGAAGTGTGTGTGTGTGTGTGTGTGTGTGTGTGTGTGTGTGTGTGTGACAGAGTGACAGAGAGAGAGAGAGACAGAGAGAGACAGAGAGAGACAGAGACAGAGAGAGAGACAGAGAGAGACAGAGAGAGAGAAAGGTGATCAAGTGGGGACAAGCACCCACCTTTCATCTTGGTATAAACAAGTGAGTAATAAAGACAGATGGAGGTAAAAGAAAAGGAAAGAGGAAGAGAAGGAGGAAAAGGAGGAAAAAAAGCAGAAGGCCAGAGAACCCAAACTCCAAAAATGGCTGGGGATTTCAAGTTACTGAATTATTGATGGCTTTTGTCATGATGTCTTATTTTAAGCTATCTTTTCAATTTTGTTTATTAAATGAAATAATAGAAAGTATATTTATAATAACAATAAAATGCTATCTCCTACCAAAAGTATAACTTACATATTCTTTACATATTACATATTCTTACATATTCTTTAATGGTTCTGAGGAGTGAACTCAGAGCCCTTGCAGAGCCTTCTCATTTGTCTTTACATTGTTTTTCATTTGGAGACTATGTCTCATTAAGTTACTATGTGGCCCAGATTATGCCCAAACTTGTGACTCTCTTTGCCTCAGCCCCTAGAATGCAAAGAGTAACTGCATTCTTATAATGGAAAAGTCTGAATCACAGGGTAGTACAGTGAGAAACTGACCTGAAGGGAGACAGGCTTGTTCTGAGCTCCAGCTCTCTTTGTAATCACATTTGATTTTGAGTATTCATTCATTTATCTCATCCTATCATTGATCCAAACAATTGGCCAATTCTAACCATCCCTCCGTTTCACCCACGTGACCTTAAAGTAAGTGGATTAATTAAATTATCTCTCAATTTCTTTACCTGTGAGAGGAGATAATAGCTGCCCTATTGTGTTGTTCAGATGATTTTTAAGTCCATGAGCCATGCCACATCTAACATTTGAAAGCGTCTCAATAAATACCAGTACATTTCCCCCTTCCCACCACTCTCCTTACCAAACCTCTGTGTCTCTGTGTCTGTCTATTTGTATGTCTGACTATCTTTCTATTACCAATCACAAGGGGCATGGACCACACATGTAGGAGAAGGCTTGAGGGGAGGATATTTCACCTCTTCTCAAGGATCCTCTGACATTTTCATTTCACTGGCTCAGTGAATTTGACCAGTTCTGCTGAAGCAGGTGTAGTTTGGGAGTCATCTTTTTTGTCCATGTCAGCCCCTGTGGAGCTGGCAATGGAGAGAAACCTGAAAGGTAGCAGTAAATGCCACATCTCCCCAGAGAACTTGTGTGTGACACAGCTTGCTGGACCAGGAAACGGGCCATGCCCCTGGCACCTCCAGATGGTGAGGCTCCTGACTATTCCACCTTTTGAAAATGCCCTGTACCAGCTCTTTTACCTGCTGCAAAGGGGGGCACGTGCAGGGCAGGTGTGTCTTTTCTCCTTGGCTTTTTCTGTTCCAGGTCAGCGTTGTGAAGGGCTGGGCTCATTTTGCAATTTGGATGTATCTCTTGAATATCGTATCTTTTGATTAAATGTTCTGAAATCACACCTACATGGTGGGGGGAAGAGAAAGGGAAACAGGTTCAAATGCACACAGACATCCTACTGTAGGAGGGCTGTGCATACACGTGTATCTGCACATACACCTGATAAAGGTAGTCAAAATAGAATTTTAGGCTTATTTCACTAAGCATCATACTTATCTAGGCTATAGCAGGGACATCTATGCAGAAACATTTAGAGTCTGGTTTCATTTTAATATCATAGAATCCCAAGGAATGTAATATTACTACCACTATCACCTATCTGAGCAAAGTGGGACAAAGAAATGTACCCAGTTTATTACAACTCATAGGTATCAGATAGGAAATAAGCCTAGACTGGTCTCTCACCAAATTCCGTCGTACCGAACCAGAACCGATCATCTGCAACCTAAATACAAGCTATGTGCAACTCACACCCACCTTGATAATTTAATTATCTCTGTCCCCTGCTCCAAGCTTTACTTACCTGCCCTCTCACCTCTATTATTTACTATTTTTCTCCATCATTTGATAACTCTCTAAAATAACCACTTTCATATGACTTCTCACACTCATTGCCTAGACTCAGCTCCCACTGTCCTTATCTAAGAACGTCTGTTACAATGTTGCTGCTTAATGTATGGTTCAGGGTGTATTACTGGTGCTCTTTGTTATACCTTTGAAGATTCCTTCCCTAAATGATCTTCTATGTTACATTTGTTTTGCATTCCCAAAACTATGGGAATAGGAAGGACATTAAGTAAATGGAAAGTGAAAGAAAACAGGAAAGAAAGTAACTTCTGGGAAGAAGGAAGAGTCACATGTCACATCCAAGGGTGCCATAGAGACTTGTTAGCTGCTCATCAAGCTGCTTTGCTTTTTCTCCAGGCCATGCAGCAGGAAGGAGCCCATTCCTAGCCTCCCCCATGGTCAGGTGAAGCCTGCCTCACATGAATCTCTCCGTCAGTGTTCCATTGGTCTACAGTTCATGGTTGCTGGATGGTGACACTCATTGTGACTTTGGAAGCTCAAGGTTACTTTATTTATTACATATGTGTCGATGACGTCAGAGCTCACTGCCTGGATCCTGGAATGACCATTTGGAGCACGGTGTGCCTCCCCTGCCTCCAACTTCTACTATGAGTGTTGAAAAGGTGGTATGATATTAAGCCATTAATTAATACTTTAAAACTTTAATTCCCAAATGTATTAAGAGAAGTTCACTAATACCAGTGTGACCTAGCAGCAAGTGATTCCCCTTTACAGCTGTGTAAAACAACTTCCTTGTCTGTTACCTGGGATGAAGGGGGGGATGTGCAGTGCAGGTGTGTCTTTCCTCCTTGGTTTCTTCTGGTCTGACTCCGCAGTATTGGTAGTCTGCGTATTTTTTCCCTTTCTTGGCTTCTTTTTGAGATCACAGCCCTCAATGAACTGATCTGGAAGATCATCTGATTTTGGCAAATATAAAAACAAACAAACAAAAAGAATATAACATGACAGGGTCTAGCTACAAACTGGTTGATTTTTAATGACAGTTGATCATAATGGCAAAAGTAAATTATTTTTGAAAAATTAAAGCCTTTGTTTATTTTGGTCTCTTCAACATAAGGTTTGAGTACCTTGTTAAAAAAATCCATAAAATTACTACAGAAAATTCCATAAAATTCTGGTCAAAAGAACTTGAATGGGTCCAAGGCAAAGAGAAACTTAAACATACACTTTACCTAAAAGGTTTTGCTAATTTCATCCAATCATTTCTATTTAATAAATGTTTACTGAAATTTTAGTATGTGTACGGCACTGGACTACCCAAAGTTGATATACATTACACACACAATAAAGGGGAGACTGAATTGAACAGTGCTTTTTAGTGAGATGATTCTACATCATCTCAGTATGTGAAATGGGCCAACGCATTTTCTGATTCATCAGGTTTGTCCTTTTCTGGTTGTTAAATTTATTTTTATTGTTATTTTATTTATTTATTTTTAGTGCCAGGGATTGAACTCACAACCTTGTGCTTTCCAGGCAGGCGTCTATGCTGCTGAGCTATAACCCCAGCACAGTTGTTAAGTTTAGTGTAATTCATTATTGCACTAATTCCCACACTAAACACACAATGATAGTGCTTCATTATGTCCAACTCTCAGAAATGGAAACCAAGGTTCATGGGCCAGGGAGAAGACAAGAGAGTTCACTGCAGGTGAGTTATGGGATCTGTATTATACTCAGGGCCTTGGAACTGTGCCTCCTTTGCAGAGCAATTGTTAAAATTTGCTACCTCATTGTACGGTCAACTTCCACCCAGATTACTCATATCATAGATATATGTTGAACTAATGAGTTCTGCTTAGAGTAGGTGCTGCTTGGATACACAGTTTGTACGTGCACCTGTTAGAAGTGAGTCCCTCTGTTGACCCAAAGTTTGACATGTGCACAGTGCAGAGAGGAAGGCATTTGCTTCAATTCTGACTTTTGCTTCAATCTTGTTTCCCCCTATTTTTGGAGAAATCCTAAACATAAAATATCTTGATGGAAATTGGAAAGAGGAGAGAGGAGGGGGAAGTCATAACCAGGCAAGGCGTAAACAAAGGCTATGAATATGCAAAAGGCCCATTTATCAAAAGTCTGAGTGTCTCATTTTTAGAAATGGGTAGAGGCAGAGATGTTTCTGGTATTTTCATTACAAAGGTTCTACAAAAAGTCAGTTCTGGAAAGGAAACAGATTGACAATAAAGCAGAAAAGGGCTATTTAAAATTCTGTCTTGATACGCAAAGAGAGATATTTGAAATATTTTATTGGCACTGCACATGGGGTGTTAGTGTGTCTGGAAATACTGGAAATAAGCTATACTGTCACATACCATTTATTGCCTCAAAAATGCTCTGCCTGGGACTCTATCAGACCCCAAAAAAGAGGACAATGCCTCCTCTCACACTCTCTCTGTCTCTAACTTTAATGAACTTCTCTCTAGTGCTTCAGCTAATATTTACATGGCAGACCCCACAGACCCATGGCTATTTGCCTGTCCATCTGGTGTTGGCTGTCACCAGAAGGCACAGACTATCAGTTTTCAGGGGGCTTCTCTCTGACTTGCCTGCAAACCATATGGCACAGACACACCCTTTCTGATTTTCATGACTGACATTCACAATGAAGCATTTACCCAAGTGGCTGCAGCGAGGGTCTAGCTTGTCCAGTCTGTCTTCTGATAGCTCCAGGGGCTGCATTTGCTCAGTAGACATCATTGAAAGACAGAGGGTGTATATATTTCTTCTCCAGCACTATCAAAGTATAAGAAATAGTCCCTAAGTGTGCTTTCTGGTAATTCATTCATTTACTTATGCAATAAATATATTTATTGAGTGAACAATAATGTTCCCAATTCAATCCTGTTTTTCAGGTCTGCTTTTTATAGATAGTTAAAATTAAAACTGAAATCAAACATACATTTCTCAGTCATTAAGCAAAGATTTAATATTAGCCCATTTTAGGAGATTCAGAATAAGTACTTATCCAGTCTGAAGTAGAAATGAATTGGCTTAGAGTTATAGAAAATATTGACCAAACCTTGCCTGTGTTTTTTAAATTCTGCAAAGTATGATTATATTTTCTTCACAGATATAAAAAGGGAGGCTCACAAAGTTTACTTAATTTACATGGTCATGCATGTACCAAGTGAGCTGCTTCTGATTTAAATCTAGTTCTACAGACTTCCACTAGACACTCAAGTCTCTTTAAAACAGAATCTGCTTGAGCCCAAATTTTCCAGGGCACTCATTTGCTCTATTCTGTAACTTTAAAGTAATGAGACAGTGAACTTCAGTTACTCTGTTCAGTAACTTTAAAGTAATGAAACAGTCTTTCCAGCCACTCTAAGAGAGTGGTAGAGATGCAGCAGGAGAACATCTAGATCTGGAAAGGATCTTTGTTATTTCCTCCCTGGGGATATCTGACATGAGAGTAAGCCTCATCTTATCCCCTTCTTTCCTGGATCACAAATCTGTTGGAACTTTTCAGAGGTATTACATATAGCCGTTGTCTAGGAATGGAAATCTAAAATGGACATGTGGCAGGTCTCAATGAGAAATACATTAGTTTCACTACAGCCTTCTTAGATTCTGATTCTTGAGTTTTTCTCTAGTAATTTGTTAAACATATCCTATAAAAGCAAAAATGGTAGGGGAGAAATGAATAAAGGTAAAAGAACCAAGCTGATTCTATTCACTTAAGTTTCCTGGAGCTGCAACATACAGAGAAACACAGACCAGTCATGGTTATGTTTCAAGCCCCTAGAATGAGTACAACTCAGCTGTCTTCTGAGGACTATGCTGGCGTTCTCAGGAAAGGCTGGAGGGTCTTTCCTACCAGGAGCTGAGATCATTGCATAGCAGATGGAGCCATTAACTGATCACTTGAGCTTGGCTTTTAGTGTCACTCTGAGCAGACTGATTGTGCTGAGTGACTTCAGCATAAATCAATTTAGACCATTGTTCTTTGTGTTTGCAGAGATTGCCAACTCCCTGGGACTATGCAGAGTGCGCTGTTACCTTGGCTAGCCCTCCACCCACCCACACGTGAATGAAGGGAAGAGCTAAGGGAAGGCTCTGGAGGAGTGGGCTCAGTATTGAGGCCTCCAGGCAAAATGACAGCCTCAAATACCCTCTGCACGTATTTAACCAATCTTCCTCCTCTCTGAGAAATCATGCCTCCAATCAAAGAACTTATGCTGAAACAATCACCCCATGGAGGATCTGCTCAAAATCTTCACTTCCAGAAAAAGAAGCTGAGGCTCAAAGAGTTTGAGTTGATCTGCCGTGTCATACTCACAGTCAGAATCAGTATTTGAGCTTGGTCTTTTCTGCTGTCTACAGTCAGTTCTATCTGGCAGCGTACCCATTTCCTTCTCCCCAGTTTAAGGTAAGCTGCTCAACTGCTTCCATGTGTCACACAGCTAGTTATTTAATTTGAGTCTAGAGTTTTGAATCAAATAGACCAGGAGTAAATCTTAGCCGTTGAACTAAAAACTCACATTGCCTTGATAAAGTTGCTAAATCTTAATGATGTTGTGAGGATAAACGGAGTCCATGTGCAGTATACTCATGTTTTGTCTCTCTCCCTAGAAGCTACTGTTGCTATGACAAAATTTGAAAAGACTAGCTTCTTTTGGGCAGCCCTACAGATGACACTCAGTATCTTATAACCCTTTCTTCCCCCATTCTTACTCTCAGTATTTCTGTCAAATAATAATATCTACTTGGTAGAGTTACTATGAAGTTGAGATATGCTTAATATATGGTAGGCATTTTTCAAATGACAGCTATTATTATGTACCTTTAGCTATATTATATATTAAAGAAATAGCTCATGTTTGGCAAAGACATGGTTTACCTATGAGATTATAAGATACTTTCATCTTGGATGATGTCATTATGCTTTGTTGATCAGAAAATCTTAAACCAAGAAAACAATACATACGTGAAGGGGAGAACTGTTTGGAATGTCATATCATCTTGGTCACTGTCACTTTACCTGGTCAATGAACACAAGAGGAATTCAGCTCCTGTAGTACCCTCCATTTTTACACTCAGAGAGATGGGTGCTCTGTAGGAGTGAGCCACTGTAAGAGGTGAGCTTGTCTAATTCTTGAATTAAACAATGGGATATTTTCACTTTCTATTCCTCACTGGCCATACCTTCTTATCTTTATTTCAGTCTCTCCCCCAAGTGGACATCTAAAAGAGATACTCCCCGTGACCTTCAGCCAAGGGAGGTTTCATCATCTCCCTCAGCAGCTCTTTGTGTCTTGGAGATTTTCTGAAGCACTAGCTCTTCCCTTCATAGCCATTCAGTTGATCTTTTGGGTCTTCAGATTTGAGGAAGATATGTAGGACTCCACATGCTAAGGGCATGCGTTCAAAGGTGATTGTGGATGAAGACTTTATATTTGGGAGTGTTTCACAGACTGTCACTAGCACAAAGACTTGTCACTCCTTCGATACTCTTTTTCCATTCATTGTTTCCACATCATCTCTGAATTTTAACAGAGTAATGACAGACTGCATGGTGATGGTCAGTATTGTTCACCTACGCTAACTATATAAGCCTAAAGCCAAATACAGTGTGAAAATCATGAGTTCTATTACATAATATCCTTAGAGGGTCTCAAGGAAAGCCAGCAATACAGGCATCATTTCTGCATCCAAACTATCAATATTCATAATAAAAGAAGAGAAGACAGACCACATAAAGATTCAGATGGTTGCAGATGAGATTTTGTAACTAAATGAATTAATATTGAACAAACCTTGTTAGTTTTCAGAATTTTTCAGATTTTTTCAATTAGACAATCAAGGCTTGAGGATCTGAACTATATTTCTGGTGACTGCTTTTGAAACAATGTAGGTTTGGCCTATAAGAGACCAAGAAATGTGATTTTAGGACTTGAGGGAGTTTTTCCAAACCCCACATGCTAAATTCTTGCAAATTTCTAACTAATACTTTTCACAAGGGTCAATTTCTTTTCACAGACACTTGTAAATGCAAATATCACTGAGAGAGGAGATATACAAACCGGTATACAATATGCAGCAAACATTGGTGGCAGCCACATAAACTTTTGAGAACAGGGGCTAAAGAGCCAAGACGCTGGGTACTAAGATATGATCCTGCTGAACTCTGAAGGGCCCACACGCCAGTTCAGCCTGCAGGAATCTGAGGACATGTTTTGCTGAAGTTAGTCTCCACAGTTTGAGCTACTTTCTGGTTCAGGGGAAACTCTTCAGTCCAGTTTGAAGTCAGAAGTTTGTCCAGGTACTTAAAACCCTGAGGAGATTTCTCAGTTGGAGATGAGGATGCCTAGTGTAGTTCAGGGGTAGAGCATTCCACCCTGACTATAAGCCTTACATGCTCGGAGGCAGTCTGAGGAAGAAGCAGGAGATTGGTACCTTGTCCCACTCTGACTGGGTGAACTTGCGCAAGCAATGTGCTCTCTTGGAAACTTAGTTTCTGGGTCTATAAAATCTGAATGCTAGGACTGTTCTCCAAGACTGCTGAGAGTGTTAACACACAATGTCTACAGAGTGCCCAGCCTAGGACTTGAGTATGCTAATCCCCTAAGAAGTGTGGGTGGCCTTGATCTCTCACCCGCCCTGCCTTTGTGCTTATAATACCTAGATTTAATGGATCTACACTGATTGTCAGGCTAATGTCACTCTATCTCTGACCTTCTTTGAAACTGGTAATGAGGTTAGAATATTCTAAAGTGTAGATCAACTGCACAACACCCATTTCTAGATCTTGCAAACACAGTAATACTCATTCGCAGGGGTGAATGGACATTTAGATTAATAAATTAATCTAAATAATATCTCCAAAATAATCAGGCTGGCTTTAGGTGATGGATAAGAAGTTCAAAAATTATTTCCATGGCCCAATATAGTGTCTAGTTCCTGTACTATCAGGCTTTGTACAGTTTACACCTTTTCTAGCATTCTTTTTAACCTGAAGATTTAGTTTCAGTCAAAAAGTACATTTGAAGATCACATTTGTTCATTTGTTCATTTAAAAGACCTAACTTTATAAATCCCTCAAGGACTGACTGCACGTGAAGGAGGGCACAGGGATGATTTTGAGAAGGATTCTTTTCCCAGCCACGTAGAGTAAGACCCTTCTTGCTGTGTGCACACACAGATACATGAGTAGTATGCACCCTGAAACTTCTCGGTTGAGTCTCTGAGGGCACAGACTCCCACAGAACTTGAGACCCCACTTCTCTCAGAAAAATGATTGATGTTCAAGTGTTTTTTTTTTTGGTTTCCCGCCTCACCTCAGTTTAGCTTATAAGGCCCAACCTTATGCCACCAGCGGCAGACTTCTTTGTTCCAACAACCATGAAAAAGCCATAAGTTATTAGAAACTTGCTTTTCTCATCACAAAAGTTTGTGCAGGAAAAAAATTTGAAGCACTTACCAACCAGCACAGATACGGCAGCGGGCAGGAGACTGGAGGAAGAGCTTGTGTGGAGAGGCTGGGCTGTTTCTCTGTGCTGTGGCTGCTGCTGCCCAGCTCAGCTCCAGCTCCTCTTATCTAGGGACCAGCTGCTGCTGTTGCCATGGGGATGCTCTGTTTCTGAGACACCAGGGCAAGGGGGATGGAGAGGGAGAGAGAGAGAGAGAGAGAGAGAGAGAGAGAGAGAGAGAGAAAGAGAGAGAGAGAGACCTCGCCATCACTGCTCTGCATGACAATAATTACATTGCACAAAAATATATTAAGTCCCATTTTGAGTTCCTAAGAAGTACACCTGAGAAACTCACACAAAGTGGCTACTACAACTTTGAATCTCCTTACAAATCCAGCCCATTTGTTTTTGTGTCCTGATATTGTGAACATGGAAACTGAGGCATAGAATAGTTAACTAACTTGCCCTAAAGGTGGCCCCCTCAAATTTTTGACCCTCAAGTCATTTGGGGTTTAACCATCCCTACTGTCTTTCAGAGTGATGTTGTAATGGAAAAAGCGATGCTAATAGTAGTAATCACTAATATTTATACAATGACGAACATCTCCATGTGTAGGTGGCTTTGAGAGTATAAAATAACCCATTGGGGTTTAGGCTGTGTAATGCAGAGCTTCAAGAAAATCAGTTACTTAGGTAGAATTCAAAGGAAACTTGTTACTCTCCATTTCTAAGTTCTTCAAAACCCAGCCTGGAGGTAAGGGAGAGGTTGTTAATTAACTTACCCTCTACTAAAGACATTTCTTTTTGGAGAGTCGGATTTCTTCACAGCTAGTCCTTATCTTAACTCTTTTTTCCTTTCACATTTCTAAACTTAACTATCTGTATGGCTTGTGTTGCCTCCTAACTGCTGGCATATGTGCTCTTTCCTTTGTAACCATCCTGATCAGGAGGGACAGTCCCTAGGATGCTGAGGGGGACAGTTCCCAGAATCAGCCCTCCATCCCCAGCTGCATGTTTCATCTTCCAACAGCTTTTTCAGCCACCGTGTTAGCAGCACCTTCTTTCCAAACTTGAGTGGGAAAGACACACTTTCTTCCTATACTTTTACATTCTTTTTTAAAAAAGCGAAACCTTTTGAGATAATTGTAGGTTCACGCGCAATTGTAAGAATAATACATAAAGAACCCCTGTACTCGTAACCCCGCCCCCAGGCTCCAGTGGTAACATCTTCCAAACTTATGTTACACTATCAAAACCAGTATACTGATAGTGATTCAGTCATACAAGACCCTCTGCCCACACAGGTCTCCCTCTTCTTGCCTACCTAGGCAGACACATCTCCCTCCTCGCCTGTCCTGGCCCCACACATTCATTAACCCTTGGAGACCACTGATCTCTTCTCCATTTTTATAATTTTGCATTTCAAAATGTTATAAAAATGGAATGAAAGACTACCTAACCTTCAGGGATTGACTTTTTTCACTTAAAATTATTCTCAGGCAAGATAGCCAGGTTGTTGCCTGCATCTATACAATAATTTGTTCCTTTTTATTGCTGAATAGTATTCTTTGGCAAGTGGCAGATTATTTAATTGTCCACCTGTTGAAAAACATCTGGGTTTTTCTCAAATTTTAGCTATTACAAATAAAGCTGTTATGAGCATTTGCATAGACAGAGGTCTCTATATGAGCAAAATTTTTCATTTCTCTGGGATGAAAGCCGAGAAGTATAATTTCTAGCAATTGTATGTTTGACTCTATGATAACATCAAAGTGGCTCTACCAGTTCTTACTCTCACCAGCACTGTATGAATACTCTAGCTTCTCCATATTTTAGCCAGAGTTTTGTATTTCTGAAAGTCATTATTTTGAAAAAGTCACCATCATAGGAATATAATATTATCTCACTGTGGTTTTCATTCACACTTTGTGGATGGCTGAAGCTGTTAAGCATGTTTTCATACGCTCACTTGTCACCTGTGAAATGTCCCTTCATGTTCTTTACTCACTTGCTAGTTGGATTAAAAGTTTTATTGTTGAAATTTCAAAGTTCTTTATATGTTTTAGATACCAGTCCTTCATCAGAAATACAGTTCGCAGATATTTAATCTTAATTTGTGGTTTGTTCTCAATTTCTTAATGATCTTTCATAAGCCAAGGTTTCCAATGTTTGTGAAGGTAATTTATCAATAAATTAATTTAAAAGCATATATAGTTGAGATATTTCTGGTTTTTCTCAGAGTCTAGAAACTGTTTTAAGGTATAGTGGCCTGAAGATTTTAAGAAATTCTTTGTTATTTTTTCCACAGTTCAAAAAAAAAAAAAACCATACTAGTTAACCATATTTAATTGTTGATAGCCTATAAAAATAACTATTAATAAGGAAAGAGATCTCGAAGATGTGTACCTAGACACCAAATAATTTCATTAGTTATTTTAGCTTTTGGTAGTGGCTTTAAATATGGATGCTTTTACCAGCTGGAATAAAGCAAGGTCCCTAGAATAAAAAAAAATAATTTTCCACATTTCAAAGGGGATATTTGCAAAAAAGAGGAGTACGCATTTCTCAGTGCTCTTTCGGATGGACACATGTACTTCTCCCAAGAACAGGTTGTTGCTGTTGTTGATTTTTCCCCCCTCAGGGTTTTCTACACGTACTTTGATTGATCACGGCCTGTCCCCCTTTTAAGGCAGATGTAAACAGTAATGGAAATGGCAGATGGTAATGTAAATCTATACCTCAGAGAGCTCTAAATAGTAGCCACATGTGTACAGTGCTGAGGACCCATGGCCTGCAGCGCTTACCTCAGAGGAAGTGCAAGGAGCCATTGTGACTGTGACATGATTTGTGTGTCCAGAAGCCTTCTGTTGTGTGGCGGCATTGGCTTCTGGCTTATTCCTGATGGATGCCTAATGGTAATGAGCTTCAAATGATATTTTTATTTTAATCACAAATATTTCATCTCTATGAAAAAGAGCAATCACAGTAATGAACACTTCCAGATGATTTATTTCAGTCAGTAATTTATAAAATGTTCGCTTCAAAGATCTGCCTTTCAAAATCAATCTAGGGAAGTTTATGTGCTGGTGAGTAAAGGGGTTTTGACACAGAGTGAGGTGTCTGTGTGTAAGGGGTGGGGGAGAAAGAGAAAGAAAGAATATGAACAGATTTCAGGCTGGATTCATCCCAGAAATCTTACTGGATCTCCTTTGATTGTACCAACCAACCCCTCTGAGAGGGAATTAGCTGTCTCAGATCAATATCTTCTGGTAAATAAGTGTCTATGTATTTGTACTGGGCGGTATGAACATATTTTAACTCTTGATAATGGGGATGATACATTAGAGTTTACCTACAAGAAAATCTGATATCATCTCTTGCCATTTCATTGAAATTACAATATGGAACGTATTTGATCTTCCATATGTTAATTGTCAGATATCAGGACCTACTAAACTAAGAGGTGAAGAGTTGTCTTTTCCTTTTGTTTTTATTAAAAATTTTAAGGAGATAATTACAGATTTATACACAGTGACAATGTATCTAGATTTTGTAACCTGAACAACTAGTTCTGAGATAACAATGTGCAATATAGTAACTAGGGTTAATTCCCTACTTTTTTTTCTTTTTTGAAATTCTTTTATCATTTCTCTCTTTTTTTCTGTTTTGCTTTTTAAAATAAAAAATTTAAAAAGAAATAAGACATAATTATAGATAGTAGATATATTTCTCTGGTATATTGTGATAATTTCCTCCAAATCATGGTATTTTATGAAAGTATAGTTGAATACCTCGAATACCTCGATCAGGATGTTGATATGGATCCAATACACCTAATTTATTCATATCTTTTCAGATGTATATGAATTCTACAGTTTTATCATCTGAGAAGTTTCCTAAATCCGCCACCACAGTTAAGATTTTGAATATTTCTCCAGCAGCATAAAGCTTTCTCCTTCTATTACTTTATGGCCACACCTCCCCTTACCTCCCTTCCGGCCTCCAGGGTCATTCTTAGCAAGCAATAATCTGTCCTCCATGTCTACAGTTTTGTCACTTCAAGAATGCTATATCAATAAAATCATGTGCTATGTAATAATTGGTGCTGACTTTTTCTGTTTAGCATAATTCCTTACGAATTTATTGAGGATATTTTATGTGTATAGTTCATTCTTTTTTATCGCTGAGAAATATTCCACTTCAAGGATATAGCACATATTGTCTATCTAGGCACCTGCTGAAGGCTATTTGGGTGATTTAGTTTTCTTCTGTTGCCAATAAAGGTGCTAGGAACATTTGTGTACAGGTTTTTGTGTGAATATAAATTTTAATTTTTCTGGGATAATTGCCCAAAAATACAATTGCTGGCTCATGTAGTAATTGTATGTTTAAATTTAGAAGAAATTGCCATGCTTTCTTCCAGTGTGGCTGTACCATTTTTCATTCTCACAGCAACGAGGGAGAGATCCGGTCTCTGCATCTTTGCTAGATTTTGGCATTTTCACTATCCACTATTTTTTGTTTTAACCATCCTAGTAGGTGTGAAGTGGTATCTCACTAAATTCTTAATTTGCATTTTCTTGATAGCTAATGTTACTGAATACGTATTCACGTATACCTTCTTCATCAAAAAGTCTTCATGTTATTTGCCTATTTTCTATACCATCTTGTCTAGATGCGAGTTTCCCTTTTCTTTTTTTCTTAATATTTAAACAATGATAAGTTGTCAACAAAATTTCCTGCATTTACTTGAGTGATTACTCTATGCCTGACATTTAAGTATTTATTATAAAACTATTTGTTTAATCCTGACAACAATCCCATGAAGTAGCTACTACCATTATCATCCTCTTTTAGAAGTAAAAATAGTGAGACACAGAAAGGTTAACCACACGGCCAAGAAATGACAAAGAAAAGATATAATTCCAGTTGGATTCCAGCATCTGTAGACTAAGCCACTAAAATGATTATAAATTAAAATCTGCCTCCGAGATAAAGAATGGACATCAACAACCTTAGAGATACTTTCAAAAAGACACAAGAGGACATCTAGCTAAAAATTCAACTTGTTGTGATTATGTTTTTTTTTTTTTTTTTTTTTTTTTTTACTTCTTCGGGTGAATTCTATCAAAATGTACCAAAATGTGGCTTTCTCTGT